CTTCCTTCCGAGGAGTGGCTGGTGGGTTTGAACCGCCAGCCTTCTGGTTAGCAGTCAAGTGCCTTAGGCACTATGCTACCAGAGCTCCCAGGAACATTGTAGCTGATACAGTAAATGCTATAACTAAATGATCAATTAAGTAGAAAATCAAACTAATTCATTAAATGCCTCTCTTCTGCTCTTAAAGCTGTAATTTTTCAATGGTAGGCAGTACAATTCACTATTTCTTACAATTAATAATAAATATTAAATGATTAAATGTAGGTTATTTGTCCTCTTTTCTTTAAAGTCAGTTCTCAGAAGCCAGTGAAATAAAAAGACACTGATATACAGACTAGAATAAAAGGATTAATAAAGGTGTCCCAACTTACTATCTTTAACAACATTTTTGCAATGTAAAAGAGAATATACTTACTATTATTTGAAACCACAACTAAAATAACATAGACAGACATTCTTTTCAAACTTATGTTAGAATCATTACTAGACAGGAATGAAAGTAAGTCTTCAAACAATTCTGAAGTGCACAAAGTCTGCTGACAATAAACTGAAACATAAAAATATAATTTTAATTATTTATCAGCACAAACAATTTTTTAAATACAGTGAACAAAGTACAAAGCTGTCAAGTTGGGGGTGGTTCTCAACCAGATTTCATTTAATTGACATTTATTAATCATACAACAAAATTTCTGACAAGTTGATATACACCTACTCAATTAGAAGACCAAGGAAGCCATATTTTAATTAGAAGTACTTGATACAGGCTTCAACACACATTATCTCAATCCCTTAGAATTTCCAGTAAAAACCAAACCCAACTAAAAATTAAAATCCAACTAAAAAAATTTAAGAGCTTGGGTGACAAAACAAAGCAAGAAAAACAACTTACAAAAATTTAGAAAACTGCTTTAAAGACAGGGAAAAACTATACTACCACTATTTTTCTTGAGACTTTTCTGGAAAAGACTTTTTGTTTCTGGAAACAAAAATATCTCTTCAAAAATGATACCTATACCTTGACAGTGGTTAATTTTCATGATAATCATGCAATAAGCAGAATTTTTAAAATAATTTAAACAGTGACACTAATCAGCATTTTATCTAGCGTCTAGAACCCAATCATTAGATCCTTTCTCAAAGGCAAGGGACTATGTCTTATTTATCCATATGGGTATAATGACCAGCTCCGAGGAAGTAATTAATTAATGCCAAATGAATGAAAATATAAGAATATAAAGCTGTTTGAAAAGCTTATGGTTTAGATTCAACCTCATTTCATGTATATTGCAGAAAAAATGTATTTGCCAACATGAATTTCTGTACCCAAAGCAAATCAACAAAATGGTTATAGGATATTTTCATCTCTTGATAAAGCACTTATATAAAATTATCTAGAAATGTTAAAAAAAAGATTGTCAAATTAGGTTTGAATAGTTTGGTGTTAAAAGAATAACACAATGCTTGAAGAGTAATGAAATAAAGTTTTGCTATTTTACCATTTTGTTCTGCAATAGCTCCTAATGCATACAAGGCTGTTTCTTTCACGATGCTATGTTCACTCGACTTTGCAAGATTTTTTACAAACATCAAACCACCAATTTCCCGAAAATAAGCACTTGCATTACCTGTGGGGTGTACAGACAAAACAAAACAGAAATAGATCTTTACTTTGATTATTCATTTAAGGATAAAATAAATCACATGAAGAAACTAACATAACATGTCAAATAACTGAGTAGTAGAGAAAAAACTATGCATTATTTGGTCCATCACAGTACTAATACATTAGAATCACAGATAAAATTTTACTATCATGTCTTACTGTTTTGTTGGCAAATTGAATGAATAGTGAACAAAGTTTCCTTTTGTGAAACAGGGTTGTCCATTTGATGCTTTAGACACTCCAATAGTAAGTTCAGGTCAGTCTTCATTTCTAAAGAATAAAACTTTCATTACTTTAAAAAGTTTTCTTTCAGAAACTAACCACTTACATTTTAACGTCTAATTACATTATCTGTGAGATATTTTCACTGAAAATAATAAGCGTGTATTACTTTTATGATCTACAAACAATAAAGAGTATAAGAATGTGCAAAAACGGCAAGGAGGCCACATGTTCTGACCTCCTCTAATCCCACAAGAGGAAGACAGAATCACCATCAGTAGCCCAAGGCCTATTCCTGCCAGGCCAGACATGCTGCCTCCCTCCAGCCCTCTCTCCAACCATTCCTCCCAAAGCACCCACCACCTCTCTCCTGGGTTCAATAATTTGCTGCAGTGGCCACACAGAATTCACAGATTATGAAGTTTATTAGGGAATCACCAGGTTACAATTCAAGTTCAGGAAAAATGCTCAGTCTCTCTCCCAGGCCACCGTCCCTCAGCCAACAGTCTCTCACAGTCTCTTTCCCAGCAGTGCTGGTCCCTTGGTGTCTCACTCAGCAATGCATGTCTCTTACGTCTCTTTCCCAGCAACACGTGTCTCAGGAGCACGTGTCTCTTTCAGCAGCATGTCTTCCTCAACCAGCAGTCAGAGAGAGTTCTGCCTCTAGGAGGCCTCCTTTCGAGCTTGGCAGGGTGGCCAAATCATAACATAACCAATCATAACAACAGAATTCTAAGCACCTGAGAGTGAGGCTGCCATAACATTATGTTGTGCCACTCCCAACAGAAATAACCCAGGTGGATAACATTTACAATCAGGAGCTCCTCGGTTACTCATTCCACCACTGAGTTTACAATGACTTATGGGTAGAAAAGCTATACTAAGTAATTTACTACACTGCAGAAAGGTAAGTGCTTAAATAAATACTTAAAACAAGCCCCTTACACTTGGTTTTTTACCTCACATGAGATATAGAAACAGAAAATCCAAATATTCTTTTTAAGTAAAACTACACTGGTTTAAATATCTGCCATTCAGAAATCAGAAAGTATTTTGAACTGAATAGAATGAAACTGCAACATATTAGGATCTGTTGGGGTGTTAAGGAAACTTGGCAGCGCAGTGGTTAAAACACTCAGCTGCAAACAGAAAGATCTGGGGTTGGAACCCACCAGCCACTCTGTGGGAGAAAGATGTACATCCTATGGAACAGTTCTGCTGTCTTACAGGGTCACTGAGTTGGAATCAACTCAACAGCAACAGGTTGGGTTTGGCTTACTAAAATGGTATTTAGGAGGAAATCCATAGCCCTAAATGCCTATAGGGAGGTCTGGTGACATAGTACCTAAGGCTTTGACTGCTAACCAGAAAGCTGGCAGTTCAAACCCACCAGTCACTCTTTGGAAGGAAGATTGGGCAATCTACTTCTGTAGAGATACTGCCTCGGAAACCCAAGGAGGGGTTGCTATGAGTTGAAATCTACTTGACGGCAGTGGAGTTTGGTTTTTTGGTTTATATGTATCTTCAGTAGAGCTTTTAAGAAGAAGCAGCTATTCACACTGTTGCCAGATCCTCATCTCTTATTGAGATCTTAATATTCTGAAATCTGACTGAAATGTATTAAGTTTACTGCTAATAAATACATGACCTCTGGTAGCGTAGTGCCTAAGGCATTTGACTGCTAAGCAGAAGCTGGCAGTTCAAACCCACCAGCCACTCCTCGGAAGGAAGGTTGGGCAATCTACTTCCTTAGTGATACTGCCTTGGAAACTCAAGGATGGGTCGCTATGAGTTAGATCTGACTTGATGGCAATGGGTTTTTACGCTAAATCCAATGAATAACAGCCTTTATCTGTGACCTTGGACACTGATGCTCATAAGCAATCTTCCTCATTGAAGCGCTCTCCTACAACTCTCATTTCCAAGATACCACACTCTCCATCCTTTTAACTCAATATCTCTCTGGGTAACCTCTTTCATACCTATGACTGCAATTTCTATTTTGGAGAGGATGACTCTAAAAACTTGTATATACCTCTATTAAATCACCTATCATAAGACATTTGAATTTTCAGCATATCATATACCCAACAGAGTATCAGTTTCCTGAAGTCAGGAGTTATGTGACACAAGAGTAGATGGTCACTACATGTAAATTTTGGAATGACTCTTGTTTCTTGGATCCTGTCAGATAACTGCAGTATATTCCACAAACGTATTATAAAACCAATGTTATAAAACATATTATAAAACAAACATTATATTATAAATAAGCAATTATAAAACTACATATATTACCCATTAATTTCTCACCTTGCATTTTCTTTGTGTCTTCACATTCCATGCTTATCTGTACTCTTTTTCCTTAGATTTCATCTGTAAAATAAAAGTGTTTCCTCAATTTAAATACCTATTTGAGACTGCTGGACATATCAATGCAAACGGTTGGGAGAAAACGGTATTCTGGAAACCAGAAGACCAGGAACTGATGTGCAATTTATTAGATCTGTGATACTAGGCAAGTTGCTTAAGTTCTCAGAGGCTCAGTTTCCTCCTCAGTAAAACAGGGTTGTCACAAGAATTAAACTTGAAAACATACTTATATACATTGGGCATTCTTTAGCACTATAGGGATTCAAAAATTGTTACAGCAGTACATAGACAGAGAACTGCCAGAAATTCAAGCTGGATTCAGAATGAGGGACATCATTGCTGATGTCAGATGGATCTTGGCTGAAAGCAAAGAATATACCAGAAAGACGTTTACCTGTGTTTTATTGACTATGCAAAGGCATTTGACTGTGTGAATCATAAATTATGGATAACACTGCAAAGGATGGGAATTCCAGAACATTTAATTGTGCTCATGAGGAACAGGTACATAGACCAAGACACAGTCAGTCAAACAGAACAAGGGCATACTCCATGGTTTAAAATCAGGAAAGCTGTGCATCATGGTTGTAGCCTTTCAACATACTTATTTAATCTGTATGCTTAGCAAATAATCTGAAAAACTAGTCTACACAAAGAATGAGGCATCATGATTGGAGAGGGACTCATTAACAACCTGAGATATGCAGATGACATACCCTTGCTGAAAGTGAAGATGACTTGAAGCACTTACTGATGAAGATCAAAGATTAAAGTATGAATTACACTTCAACATGAAGAACACAAAAATTCTAACAATTGAACCAATAAGCAACATCATGGTAAAAAGAAAAGATTGAAATTGTCAAGGATTTCACTTTACTTGTATCTATCACGCATGCCCATGGAAGCAGCAGTTAAGAAATCAAACGATGTATTGCACTGGGCAAATCTACCGCAACAGATCTTTTCAAAGTATTAAAGAGAAAAACATGTTACTTTGAAGCCTAAGGTGCACCTGGATCCAAGCCATGGTATTTTCTTTTTAATTTTATTTTGATTTGGGTGAAGATTTACAAAGTAAATTCACTTTTCATACAGCAGTTCACATAATATACTTTGTCTCATGTCATTGAACAAAATTTACAATGCAACAGCTCCTCTCCCACTTCCTCCCCATAGTTACCTCCTCCCAGCGTCCATCCCTCCATACTCTTCTGCGCCCTGAGCTGTCTCCCTGTGCATAAGCAGTCCTTCCCTCTCCCGTGATTGTTCTCTCCAGGGCGTGTCTCTACTTGAGGTAAATGTTTAATTCACATGCCTGTACTTTGTTTAGCTGGAAACCACAGGTGTGGCTTCAATTCCAGACCTGCAGGGCAGCCAGGGGCCATAGTCTCAGTGGTTCCACCAGGCTCTA